TGGATAGTGATTGTGAACCGAAGTTATCTTATTAGCTCCTACGTTGTGTCAAACATTTTGTCTTTTCCATATATAATTGTACAAGCCTGAAGAGGAAGTATTGAAAACAATCTGGTTGTTCGGAAAGTAAATTACTTGTTTCCCAACATAAGATTTGATTGTATTTTATTCGCAGCCAACTTCAGACTTACGCCGTTTTTTTATATTTTGACAGCTGATAGAGCAAGGCTTGCTTATGAGAATGTTCGATTGATTTCACGTGGTATTTTTGTTGGGCGCCCTATCAAATATGGAGTGAAAAGCGTCATTTTCGGTACATTTTACATTTTTACTGGCGAAAAGGTAAAAACTCGGTTCAAGCAAGAAAAAGGCATCCGATGTATAAGGAAGTGAATTTACAGAACGCCAGTGCCAAAACTGGTTTTCAAAATCTTGATCAGCCTTTACATAAATGAATAATTGCATTAAGCAATAAATTAATTAATTGCAGTAATTGTTTAATTATTTTATATTGAGTGATGTAAACCGGATAACAACAGCACGTGAGATCGCCTAGAGATTAAATTTATCTAATTCGACCATTCATGAGCATTTGAAACGCCCAGATTTCATCGCAAAATCGACACGCGTTTCTCATGCTTTTACGGAAAGAAATTTGTACAGTCGCGTTGACGTCAATGATTTACTTCTCAAACGTCAAAAAATGATCCGCCTTTGAAGCGCATTAGTACTGGGGACGAGAGATGAGTTGTTTACAATAATGTTAAGCGCGAGATCATGGAGTAAAAAGTGGGAACCGGCTCACACCCCTTGGAAAGCCGATATTCATCAAAAAGGTGATGCTATCTGTTTGGTGGGATTTCAAAGGAATCGTTTATTTTGAACTTCTGCCGGACAACACAACGATCAATTCTGAAGTATACTATCATCACTTGGACAAATCGAATGATCCATTTAAACAGAAAAGACCAGCATTTACTAATAGAGAAGATGCAGTGTTCCACCAAGATAATGCGAGACCTCACACAACTTTGCTAACTCACCAAAAGCTTTTCCAGCTTGGATGGGATACACTAGCATTCCCACCACACTCTCAAGATCTGGCACCTACTGATTGTTATTTGTTTCCGTCTCTACAAAATTTTTAAATGGTAAAACATTTACCTCAAATGAGGAGCTCAAAAACCACCCGCATCAGTGTTTTTCCAGCAAAGAAAAACAATTTTATGGGCGTGGAATCATGTTACTGCCAGTAAGATGGTAAAAGGCATTGGATCAGAATGGAGAATATATAATATAATAAAATATTCATTCAGTGGAAGAAAACCGTATTTCATTTTCATCGAGAAAAAAGAAATTACTTTCCGAACAACCAGATATGTTCGCTAACATCGGCGGAGTTGTTCACTGTCGGGCGCGTCCCCAGGTTGCGGACCGGAGGAAACTGCGAATAAGTCTGGTTTGCTTTACAGTCGAGATGAATAAACAGTCGTGGGCAATCAGCGGCAGCGTCTCAGAGCGCAGGGGTGCTCTGGCCTGGTCACCTGGTTCTCGATCAAACACCACAAGAGCTCGTACGGCGCTGTGTCAAGGCCAAGGTGACCGGCTACAAGGTCACTGACCACTCACTGTTGTAACTGAAGGTAAGTATGCAAAAGAGGGCGGATGAACAACATTGCTCGCCACCGGCTTCTCTGTGGACTGTGACTGAACATAAAGAAGGCGAATGAGCCACCTGGTTGTCAACGGTCTTCGTATTCGCCTCGCGAGTCAGGTCTTTAAGATCAAAGGCTTAAGGTGGGGCCCCTTATGTAAACCCCCTTCCTCGGCCTGGGCAACCGGGAAGCTCACTGCCTACGCAACACATAGACCTTCGCATTCGTTCCCCTGACTGTTTTCATTGTTGTCATGTGTTGCGGTCCTCCGCCATATGTTTATTGAGCAAGTGGTAAATATATATATATATATATATATATATATATATATATATGTAGGACTTTAAATTCAGTTCAGTTGGCCAGCTACGATTCGTGGAGTAGAGTGCGGTTGATCCCGCAGCCTTTTCACGCGATGACAAGACCATGTATGGTAAATGGAGTCGACGTGAGCAGAGGCAAAATTGCATTCGGTATATCTACTGAGTAAGGCTCCAATACCGTCATTGTTCGAACCCGAGAACGAGTATCCCCGATCATGCGAACAACATAGCAGACTGACAGAGATGTGTGGTGAGGCCACTTCTTTTATGTGTGTGCTCGGGAGACACAACGTAAGTCAACTCCAGCGGAGTGCGTAACGATAGTCAGCGCTACATACTCAACCCTGTGACACGGAGTGTAAACATCGAAAGTGAATTAAAACGCCTAACTTAGTGAGAGAAACAACAGAAACTTCAAGGTACTAGGTGAGAGAATGCGTATTACTACGGAGGAAAAGAAGTGGAAGTAAAACCAGTGACTGCGCGTTGTGGGTGCATCGGTTCTCCGACTGCCTATTCTACTTCAAGTCCCACTAGGCGGTAGGGAGCGCGTCGTTCTAGACCACATAGTTCCCGCCACAGGTAGACACAAAAGGCTGAGAGAAACCAAGTATCCTTTGATGGTAGTCGACGGGACACGTCTGATTATGTAACGACTAAGGACTGCATGATTTGAGATGTGTAGTAGCAATCCACCGCGCAACAGTGTCGTATCCTCCCACAGTTAAAGAGAACTCGAGGTGTCGTTCGTTCGCCATGCAAGCCATGCCGAGAGAATAAAAAAAGACCACAGGTGAATTTTGAGATGAGATGTTCATTGAATTCTTCCCAACCACCAAACGACAGAATGTGGAGATAGAGTTTAGAAAGCCTACAAGCGTTGTCGATCAACCTGAGTGGGTGGGTGCAGAAGCGATACAGAAGAGTTGTGCAGTGCAAATCAACAAATCAAGGTGATACGAATGATTATCGGACTATTTCATGATGATGATCATGTCAGGCATTTTGTTAGTCGAACTGTTCGCCAAGCTAGACAATTTTGCTTCAAAGGTTTTGTCACCAAGCGTGTCAATGTGCAGCAGAGCGCGGTGATGTATCGCTGATAGCTCAAAATGGATGCTTTGGTAGACAAACGTTTGGAGTAAGACCCTCGAAAGTCTGTCAAAATATTGCTTTCACCCATCCGCATTGTGTCATGAGTAATGATGCAGCGTTGAAGGATGGAAAGAGTGAGTAATTTAAAAAGTTCATGTCTGACATGAACTGCAAGCAAGTAATAGATGTCAGTCACGAACGTATCTAGTCTGCAAATCAGGTACAATGTTGTAGCAGTCTAAATCAACAGTGTGGCTGCCTAACATAGTTTTCAAGGGGATCAAAACAGAAGATCTACAAGGACTCTACTTCAGCTTAATAAAGCAGCTATCGTTATGAAATCGAACTGTGTGAGACTCAGTTGCCTCGACTTTACGTGTCCGACAGTAGTGACAATAACAGGGATTTGAAAGAGGGAAACATATAAACGACGAAAATAAAAAAACAGACAAAGGAGTGACAAAATAGGAGAATCAGATGGATAGAATAAGAGAACGAAAGTAAGCCTTAGACAAATCCACTGACGCCACAGCTGAACCACGCGATCTACGGCATCCGATGTGGATGATCCCAAGGCGGCTCCAGGGGCACAAGAAGATGACGTGGACGAATGGCTTGAACAAGTTATTTCCATAGCACCAACTGACTAGTTCAGACAATACAGTGAGTTCCGCAGCGCTGCTTATTATCTGTCGTCAAAGGTGAGGAGGCAGATCAAGGGTAAACATAAGTAGCGACCATGTAACGATAACGAATCCGGTTTGGGGATACCACACCAACAAGTAGCGTGTAGTAGTTATGAACGCAGTGGGCATGAAGTTATCAACAGACTGAGAAATAACAGGTATCAGGTTGACTCTGTGAAAGAAGCACCAGATACCATGGTCAATAGCAAGCGAAGCGACCGGCACTGGCTAGTACCAGTGTAAGCAACCGTTCCCGAAGAGAGATGATTCGAGCACAGTCTATGGATGCGGTAACTAAAACAACCAAATTGGTAACTATTGGTGCGCCCAAAAGAAATCAATAGGAGATAAATCTATCTAAAAAGTTGTTGGAAAGATCGTTCATCCATTCGTTCGTGCAAATTAGGGTATGCACGCGGTAATCGGTTGTTAACAAGCGTCCAGCATCAAAGCGATGTGCATGCAGTTGTTGTAATTAACGCCGCTAGAATATAAACCTTCATCATCGAGGGACAGCATATGGTGGAAAAAGTAAATAAAACGCAACGGGGAGAAGGCCAGAAGAAAGGGAGAAAATTTGATCGAATCGGATGATTAAAGGTTGGATGCAAGCCATCGAATGCCCCAGGGTCAGTGACCTCAAAGCAACGCAACGTCGGATGACGCCCTCCCCAATTACGGATACAGCTCATCCAGAGGCCTTCGTCCGAGAAAAGGGCGGTTAAAGGTTAACAAACACACCAGAGGTGCTTTCCAAACGTCAACCGGTAAATTTCAATTACACTTAATCAGCTCTGCCGCCGGATATGAGCAATACTATACAAACGCTGAGTTTAGTAGACGATCGGTCTCGTTATGTCCTTCACGCTCAGTGGCAGTTTTCTGATGCATGTGGGATCCGGATGAAGCTCATGTGCATGTCGACATGAAAGTGCGTAGAAACGCCAGATTACAATAAAATAAACTGAAGCGCTTTTTGTCCTCAACTTCTCAGCGGTACACAAGATTCGTGTAAACCGATCCTGCCGACGGCAACATCAAGCGTAGAGTGGAATAACTAAAAAGGTGTCTAAAAACCATTCGCTTGCAGCAATGGGGATAACTCGATTATCCCTGAATCATGTGCCTTCAAGAACCGAGTTATCTAATGAAAGAGGGAGGTGAAATACCATATCCGAAAGCCCTATGGCAAAGTGAGGAAATGATACATAACCAAGAAGAAAAAATGTGAGAGATCTTACACCGAGGCGATGAATCATTCTCCAGTGGGTCGAGTGATTTGGCAGCTGCAATAAGCTCGTCAGCAGGCAGAGGAGAAGGAAGAGAGCAAGGGATCGTCTGGTCCATGAGCGAGAGGTGGTTAGGAGAATCAGATATCTTTTGGAGGCGTCGGCGCTTGGTACCCCGTCGCCTGTACAGGTGCTCAGCAGGATATCCAGATTTGGAGCCCCGGGATTCGATGGCGTTAGGCGGCGGACTTCGGTCGGAATCAGAGCTACACGTGTCGGAGACAGATTCCAAAGAGGAAATCGAGCGAGAGGAAGATGCAGAAGAGGGTGGGGATGATGAAGAGGAGTAGAGCTCTGAATCCGGAGCACCGGAGTAAACAGATGAAGAGTGCCGAGATTTGTAGGAGCAAGGAGAGCCAAGACAGGGGGACCGACAAGTGTGATGCCAGGGGATGCAGCAGTCGGGGGTAGACAATGGGGATGCCTGTGTCTTCTCACAGTTCCAGGAAGAAGGACGGGGGGAACTCGGGTGATGGTCAGGCTTGACAGCTGTAAATGAAATGCAAAACGAATGCGAACAGTGGACCATAAGTGAAATACTGGGGACCCACTGAGGAACGATTTGGTTTGACTGAATCCCCGAATAGTAGAAAATGTGTAGCCTGATGGCGAGTAGGACATGAGATGATCGATACAACAAACGTAAATGATTGCAAAACACAGTCTTCCTTATTGACAGAATGATTATTAGCGACAAATTGCTCGTGTTTTCGTGTATCGGTGTCACGGATATGCCAACATACACCAGCCCAATGCCTCTGCTCTTGGACCATAGCGCGTAGAAATGGCAGACAAATGTAGACCAATTAAACTGGTAACCACGGAAACCCTAAGTAACGGAGTGCGGGTGATAAGTACGCGAGGAGTGAAAAATGAAAGTCAAGGATAGGACATAAAAGTGTGACAAACTGCTGCCAAAGATGGGCACTCTAATGAGTTGAAACCAGACACGGAGGAGAGACTATGTGGCCTAAAGGGGTGACGATAAGGTATCGAATGAGTTAATAAAGATGTGGGAAATGAGAGACTCACCATCGATGCCAGCCGTTTCCATGAGTGAGTGAGTGGGGGCCTGCAAGTAGCAACATAACCGTGGTGATAACGTGGGAAGTAAAGCTCAGTACCAAAGTTCGAGTTGGGGTCGAACAAGAAAGCTAGGCTGCCGTATCGCGATAAGAGCATAACAATGATGGCCAGAGTGTGTAGCGTGCATGAAGAGGACAAACGCTGAGATGAGATAGAAATGCTCGTCAGTGGGACCAGACAGGCGGATGGGTGCGGTGGTGCATACTCTAGGCAAGCGCTGGTAACGAGCTTGTAATCTGGCAGCGCGGGTTCGAGCCTGCCTAGGGACAGGGCGACCCATGCAGTATTCTTAGCCCACATGTGATCGGTGGTGGTTACGCGGCAGCAAAGCGTATGTATCGCGTACCGGCGTACTGCTGATGACTTTTATGATTTCGAGTTTATTTAGGAAGTGGGAACAATAACTGCAATACGTATTGAAATGGATTGTTTATCTTGACAGGCAGGACCACGTTGGTGGGGGACGCAGCGGTACTGCTAGATGTGAACGCTTTAATCCAAGAACACTACCACATCTAGCATGGACAGGAAGCAATCCGGAGGAAAACTACCAACTCAGCTGAGTCAAGTCGCCATGACTCGCAAAAGTGCGAAGGAAAGGTTAAACGTTTAGAGACAAGAAACCGCTCGTTGAGCACCGAGGAATCCGGGGCTGTAATACAACGGGTAAAGTCTCAAACCGACGGCCTAAGTGGCTCACGGGCATCAACTTAGAAAGAAAGTAACCCCACCAGATTGATCATTATCAAAGTTTCCATGTCGCTGGGACATGTGATCCACTGATCCCCTGGAAGTTTTTTTCAGCCAGATGCAGAAACAGCGAACAATGCATACCTAGGAATCGAGCGGGTAAAACTGTATCAGATTGTCTCATGCGCCTGGATTACCAACGTTCACTGTTACTAAATGTCAACCAGCTGACATTTAAAGTAGTCTCCAGATGGCTTCATCAGACATATGTGGCTAAAGGTGATTAGTGGCCTAATGTCTCTAACACGTAAATAACGTGCTGCAGATTTGCACAGTAACACCGACAGAAACGTATCCTTGTGCAATTTGCTCTGGACCGATAAGATGTGGTCTAGAGGTCTACGTAAGTGACTTAATCGCATAGGTTTCGTGGATAAGCACGGAAAATTTAAGGGCAAATCAAAAACAGATAATGATACAACTAGACAAGTAGGTGAATCGATTAATCAATTCTAGTGACCGTTCGTTGTCCATGAAAGGTGGAGGCGGATCGGCTTACTCCAATAGCAGTACCTTGCGCATTCAAGGAACGTAGCACACACCGAAGGGTGCAAAGTTGCTTCTGTCATAACCTTAAGGAGCACTACAGGGCAAATCACAAACGATGAGGTCATATAGCCGGATGTAAACGATTCGCTTTGTACCAATCAGAAACAAGAGTACAAGACAAGCCAACTCGAAAGGCGTGTGGCATCCGTAGCACAATGAGGCATCAGAACTTTCTCTGAAAAGAATGAGCCATAGGTTGAAAATGACGAGGCTGAGGTTGAATAACTTGTCCATCACACTTAAGCGCAGTCGCGATAACTGACTGCTGTCTCGAATGAGTTGAAGTTGAACTAGGCTGTCAATGATAGCAACAGACCGTTAAATAGGAGAGGTCTTTGCGACCAATGGTGAGATGTGTTGCGAATGTTTCGGGTAGGTTGAAACTAGCTGTGTAACTGGACTATGATTAACGCATCAATCAAATTGATCAACGTGTTCGAAATCTGTCCAGTACATCGAAGAATTAATCATGGTGACTAAGAGGCCATGGGGACCATTATTATGGTGCGTTGCAAGAGACTCTAATAGGCTCTAATCACCTTGCAAACAAAGGCGGAAACTCAAATGGAGATGATAGTAGGAGTTCAGCTGGTGGGAACTGCAAGGATAAGCTCTTCACTGGGAGAAAGGAAACAACGTCTTAACAGTGCATAACGATGCTAACGCTGGAAGTCAAGAAGTGGACTCCGTGGACATGGTAGGCTCCACTACTTAGCGCGAGCGAAGACGAAGGCGATCGCGCAGCAAAATATTCCAAGCCAGTAACACCAGAGCCAGATTCGGGTGGCCAGAATGACTGAGATTTGCTTCAAAGTGAACCGTGATCTAAACTGGGACGGCGCATTTCAATCCGAACACGTGATCAGTACTACGAAACCGAGTAATCAATCGCTGTGACAAGCGCTGCCCGTGAAATCTGGGTGATTTAGTGACTAAGGCGTCGTTCACTGGTCACTACCACTAATCTCAGCTCCAGTTTGCCCTGTTTGAAGAATAAAAACGGGGACGAAACAGGTTGTGGACTTCGGTACTCTGGACATTTGAAAATGCGCTAATTTTTGTTTTGATTGTAGTGATCATAAATGCTTGTGCTGACTGTGAATTCTGTGGAACGGAAGTGTAGGTAAACAACTAGCTGACAACCGTAGAACACGAGACGGCACCGCACAGGAGAGTTAGAACACTATCTATTCACAAGCGATGTTGTATCAGCTGACATAGATCCCTGTGCAAATCGGAATGTTGATTAGGTTGCGTGAGTCCTGACAGGTTCCACATATACCTGGTCACTACTTACCGATGAGAACTATGTTTCGCTTACGGGATATTGGATGGCGTAAATCTCGATGTGGGCGAAGGTTAACTTGACAACGGAAAAGTACCGCCGTGCAACATTTGTTCAAATGACTGAAGTACTACAGCAGTTGTTGTTGTTGTTGCTGCTGCTGTTGTTGTTGTTGGGACAGGATGAAGCTAACTTGACACGGAATACCGCTTGGCAATAGAGCGGCGGATCGGAACAGATAACAGAGTGTGCGCGATTGAAATCTGCGTGCCGAGGTACGCTGGCTCGAGTAGCCAAAATGGATAAACACGAAATGGAAAGCAATAGTGACATTGACTCTACATGATTGTCCCATATCCGATAGAGCAAGTAACCAATGATGTAGCCAATCTCTAAGTTCCTACTAAGAAATACGACAAACACCAACCCTACATGGGACTTCGGTGAGTTACTGCGTGCTACATTGCCAGGTATTTGATTGGTCATCAATGGTCTGAAATAATTAGGCGCAACAGTGACAATTAATTCACACTGAAGCAGCCAACTCGCTGGTACCAAGAGCATATGACCGAACCAGTCGAAGCGGACACTGCAACGAGGCACCAGATGACTCATTGATCAACCCCAGAGGAGGAACTCCAACGGTACTCGTTCGGCTCTCCCAGAAGGCAGGCATCCGCGGTTCAATACGTTCACAGACTCGCAATGTCGTGGGGGCGTGGCGGTCAGGTTTCGCATACATATAGTACGATTACCGGCACTGCAACCTTACAAACTCCTCTCTTGACTAGTAGGTTTGTATCCCACCGCCACCATAATTGACTAAGGCTTTGAAAGGTCATATGAGCCCAGGCACATACGCATAGTAATCTGCTCGATGAGGCAACCACCAAATGCTATCCAAATAAGGGAAGCAGTAGACCACTTCGAGTCTATATTCTACGACCGTGAACAGTGATAGCAAGCCGTAAGTGACCGGCAGTCTTAGCATCAAGTTATGCCTGTGGATAACAGAACCGTCCGTTTGATTTATTCGTTTCATTCGCAGTTGCATTGGCCACCCAAGTCAGTCAATCGCTTAGGTGATTCAGTTCGAATATGCTGGTTTAGTAGTTACTTCAAACATTATGCGTTGATAAGCTTGAAAGCTGCTTTGATTAAATGGACGCAAATCCCGAAGATATAGTGAAGCGTTGTGCGATCGTTGTTTGATCGAGTTATGACTGCACCTTTCACATTTTTCTACTCATTTGTAAACTTGAGCATTATTTATGGTGTCCGTTTAGTCAACTTACAGTTGATAGTGTAAAATGCAGAAAATGCACCCGCCTTGGTACAAAAAACGTATGCTTTGACTTGACTTGATATGTCGCACCAATTTTAAAGCCAATGAGTAGCACAACCATCAGAGGTTTGGCCTAGGTGTTGGCAAGAACTCAACGACACTGCTATTGTTGTGAGGATGTGGAAGCTGCAGCTGGCGAGGCAGGTCCAGCACTGGATCAGCACGTGTAAATCGCTGACTTTGGTCTGAACTCAAAACCCAGTGAAATAAGATGTCTGAGCCTACGCCATACAAATATCAATTGATGTAGCCACTCGGAGTATCTTTCTGCTCTAATAAAGTGGTAATCGAGAACGAGCTGAATTGCTCAATAGCGAATTGAGAAACAGTCCAAATATCGCAATGTGTACCTATGATAAACATGGAACCTTAACTTTTCAGCAAGGTAACCCGCACCTATGCAGACTCGAATCGGCGACCTCTGAATTACAAGCCACTCGATCACCGACCGGTACGCGGATCGGCAAGGTCTGCGTCGATTTGCAAAACGTTGAATATCCATGCAGAGTGGCGGACAACATGTTAGCTGTCAAGAGCAAGGGGGAAATAACAGGAGTGTGTCCTATAAAGCATCCAACATCAAGAATACGTGCACGCTAACATAAAGTTACAAGCATTTGGCAACCAAATCAGAAGCAGACTGTAATTTTCTTCATTGATAGGTTACGAAGGACTCCGAAAACGCCGGATACCTAGCTTGATTTGTCTGAACAGTGGATGAACGTCTCAAGATTTAAGTAATTGGATCCAGAAAGTGGAGGGCTGAGCTGGACAATAAACTCAACGGTTCCGCAGGATACAATCACCAACTGGGAGTTAACTAGTCCCACCTGTGATGAAAAGATCACGCTATTTGCAAGCCTAAAGACCAGCAATCACATCGTGCACACTGCTGACTCTGAATAAAACGGTGATGTGGCAGGTACATTGACAGGTGGTTGCGAGGCAGACCTAGTTGGATGCTCGTACTGCGATGTTCGTCCATCCGTAACCCCGCAGTTGCCCATCGCTGTTGCTCTGATTATCATACGAACGCGAGTACAATTCACCGGACGGATCAAACGCGTAGTTGTCTCAAGAAGGATCCATGGTATGGTTGCTCGTGTGTCTGATGACTTGCCGGCTCTGTGCGCATAGTTGGAGCCTAGGCGAATGTCTACGTTTGGCAGTCTCAGCAGTAATCCGGTCCACGTTGTGAAATAAAAAAATTCACAAGTTGCGAATTCGAAATTCTTCATCCTTCCTTTTATACTAGTCAGTAGACGAATATTTTCCAATCTCGCTTTCATCATTCCCTTCGTGCACAGCCACCCGAATTATAAAACACGAACATGACATTTGTCTATTCGCATAACTGTGGTTAACACGGAAGCACCAGTTTAGTGTATCAATGTCACTGTTGACGTGCTGTTTGTCTCTCACCGCTGACCCGGAGTACCGAACAGTTGAGACTGTTTTAGCTCACTGCTAAGGAACATCCAGGCTAAGTCTACAAACCTAATCGTAAGTCCTTTCTCTACATTGAAAATTACTGTCATTAAACCACATTTTACGACATCTGATGGATCGAGTTTTGTCCTGAAAATCAAATCGTGCGTGAAGCTTGGCATGTAGATATCGCACTCTTTGATCTAGTGGCAATTACGCGTGAACAACCACTTTCGGCAGAACAGCAGCGAAGCATAGCTGTAAGAGTTGCTGGTGTACTGTCGACAAAGTGGTTTTCCACTAGGCGAATCGATGAGGAAAATGAAAACACAATTGTTGGAGACCAACCGCTACTCACGGATTCATCGTCTGCCGGTTGCAGTTCGCCGCTCGACGTGAATTTCAGCTCCCCGTACTTCTGTAAATGAATTCGACATCCGTGGCAAAGAAAACGGAGCTGTCCCACCTGTGTGCGACACAGACAAAAGAGAGAGAGATAAGGGGCGGCTGAAGAATAAAAAAGGTGTGTGTGTGCATGGCATAAGGGAAGACAGTTACACACATGGAAATGCACTAGGGGATGCATATAAAAAGACGATTGCAAATAAAACATGAGTTTGCTCAAATTTCCTAGCTCAATGGTGACAAAAGTTAGATACAATCTACGATAGTCACACCCGTACATATAACTAGTTTGATGCACAATCCCCTGAAATTTTATTAGACCGGTTAGTTGCGGTAAGCAGCCACTCCGCAATTCCTCTCAGTAAGAAGCAAGTAGAACGGATCGCTCCCACTAACACCAATTAGAATAGTCAGAGGAATCGCGCGCATATAACCGTTAGTGCATGCGACTAAAAGTGAAGTTATTATAGTCATGTGATGGACTGATGGTTTGATGCAAATGTCGGGAAAAAAATTGCCGGGGACAGTTGCGCGAGGAATGGGAATGGCAGGAGGTTGAAACAACACAGCTAATCATCACCAGAGGACGTCAACTAGCAGGATGCGAGAGATGATGTGCTACACCACTTAGACAGTACAAAGAGAACTACGGTTGGGAAACCGACCGTGACAGCAGTTCCAACATCGTTGATTAGTTAATCCGTATAAACGCCTTGTGAAGCACTGAACTGGCTTTTGAGAAATCGATTTAAGTAGGGGTGGGTAGTGAGTTGCTGAAAGTGGTTTGTGTTTGGTCACGTTTGGTCACTCCGAGCGGGATTTAGTCAGGCATACAAGGAATGGGTCGAAAAAGCGCGAGAGTGGGGATGAGAAACTGTGTCCAGAAAGTGGCAAACATAACGGCAAAAACAGACAATTAGTGGAAACAATCAACCATCAGTCCAATAAAATGAAGTGCGTAAATATGATCAATAAAGCGACAGAGGTAGTAAAAAGTGACATGTGAAAGAGACGGATTAGGAAAAATAAGACCAAGTGATAAATCTAGTTCGCATAGTGTGGCGGATCGAAGAAGTTGGCAGGTGGAAACGGAACATCTGGCGCTGAATCGATATGTTAACGGAACCTGAACCGCTTACGTTAGTCCGACATGTTCTTTGCATAACTGTCTACCACCCATCTCGGCATGAATTGTTTGCAGTTGACGCATAAAGTTATGCGAGACGACTTTTTAACGATTGACGGGGAGAGAAGGACAAGAGGAAAGCAGACACACAGACATTATTTGTCAGATGTATGCTGTCAATCTGGATCAGGCTCACGAGATGGGTCACATAAGTAGTTAGAGGCTTTGACAAACAAGGCGAAGCTGCGCAGTCTATGGTATTACTCGCCTATCTAACAAGTATGCCTAGTCGTGTGCCTTTTAAGGTTTCACTCGAACCACCCACCGAAGCGGAGCTTGAGCTTTGTCCCTTGGAGGGATCCAAGGATATATATATATATATATATATATATATATATGATGTCTATAAAATGGACATTGACCCATTCAAAACAATGGGAATCCAAGCAGTAGCAAAAATGTGTACAACGATGTTTAAAAAAATGATAAAGTATTATAAAAAGAACATTTTTTTCATTTTCACACGCCAGTTTTCTTGTTTGTGCCACTGCTAAGGAGTTTGTACTGTTGAAATTGAGTCCATGCTGACTTGCATGGATTGTTTTCACTGCAACCGGTTTTATTCCATTGTTTCGAGTGTTGTAAGCCAACCGGGAAGGCGTGTAACAGATCAGCAATTGATAGACAGGATGTCAGCGATTTGTTGCTTTATCGCCAGGTGGTCGGCTGGTCCCCATGCCTCTTCCAACGCAGCCCTGTATGCAAAATCAGAGCGCTGTGTAGCAATCGCTCGTCAGACAGGTACAGGACGCAGCGAAGCCATCTAAACTGGTGCAATAGAACAAGCTTATTGAGCGGAAAATCCGCTTTGATAAAGACTCGTTGTCTGACATCATCACTGCGCACCCACTGTTGCCACATACACGAAAGATCCTACGCAAACAGCAGTTGTTGAAGGCCGAAATCCTACGTATGTCATCCACTCGGATCGGTCAGGATTCGCATCCATAGGAAAGTAGTAAGCGAACAGAGGTATTGTAAATTCTGCCTTTTAACAGAAGCGAAGTGTCGCGACGATGTTACAATTGTCACAAATTGGCAAAGGCCGAGCGGGCTTTAATGATACAGAGACACACCTCCACTCCAATAATTCCGTCAGTACAGATACTGCTTTCAAGATAAACTAATCTACCCACCTGCTCAAGCCGATTGCTTTCGATGGCAAGCTTAAAAAGAGAATTTTGCAAATCCCATGCCAGCACATTGCACTTTGAGAGGGTAAAGCACATACCATACTTCGACGCTTCTATTACCAGTCGGTCAAGTATCAATTGCATACCATGAGGGTCGTCACCGAGAAAGGCGATATCATCAGCGTAAGCTAAGTCGGTTGCACGGTTATCTGGAAGGACCTCAATTCCAGAAGTCTGAACGCCAACTACAGCTCCCAACACGACATCTCCGATCGCGAAGTCGTAAAGATATGGAGACATACGACGTCCTTTTCGCACACCATTGGCAATAGGGAATATTGTGGAGAGCTTGTCGCACAGTTTTACTCTGCATGAAGTATGAAGATATAGTGCACGAAGGACAGCAACGTACTACTCCGGTTCGTACTACTCCGATTCAGTCGATCGATCGATTCTGTTCGAATTACTTGCGCGAAAAGGTGTTCCCACGAAATATGTGAACATCCTTCGTGCTCTATACTCGAACACTACAGGCCGCGTCAGGGTCTATGGTGTCCTATCGGATAGCTTTTCGACCACAAGTGGCGTTTGTCAGGGTTGTCCTATTTCCCCATTTTGTTCAATTTCGTCGTGGATTCTATCATGGAGTGTTCCCTGACGGAATCCAACGATGTAGGCGTTAAAGTGCTGCATGGTGAAAGGTTAGTTGATCTAGATTATGCGGACGATATCGTCTTGCTTTTCGACGATGTTGCGGCGCAACAATCAACCCTGAATAGCCTGTCCAGAGTGGTCCCATTATTTGGTATGCACTTAGCACCTTCGAAGTGCGAAGTGTTGCTGCAGGACCACCAGCCACTTGATGACCCCTTGACGCTTGCTAACGAGGAACTCGAGGTGGTTGATCATTTCACTTATCTTGGCAGCTGCGTCAGCAATGATGGGCGCATAGAAACTGACGTCAGCTCACGCATTGCAAAGGCCAGAGCTGCCTTCTTGAACCTGCGTCATCTTTGGCGACAGAAGGGAGTTTCCCTCCGTCTGAAAGGTCGTGTATACAAGACCACAGTGAGGGCCATTCTGCTCTATGGTAGTGAAACTTGGCCCCTTCGGTCTGAAGATCTGAGGCGCCTTCAAGTCTTTGATCATCGTTGTTTGCGAAGCATTGCCGGTGTCGGATGGCACCAGCGTTTCCGCAACGATGATGTGCGTAGACGAGTACTAGGTAATGATAATCATGCTAGCTCCCTAGAACAACAGATAGCACTGAATAAATTGCGTTGGCTCGGGCACGTGCTACGCATGCCTGGTCACCGCTTACCCAAGAGGGCCTTGTTCAGTCTACCAGGTGTAGGATGGCGCAAGGCTCGAGGTGGACAGAAGTTGACTTGGCAGCGGGAAATGAAGTCACTGACAACTAAACTGGGTGCCATTGGTCCGTCTCGTCTTCCGGGCTGGAGTCCACGTGACTCGCCTTGTGCTTGCCTCGTGACTTTACAGGACATGGCTCCCAACCGACACCAGTGGCGCGTCTGCTGCCGTCTCCTCATCGGATTGCCTGTTTAAATTGTGTTTGGTGCTGAGTTATCTGCGGGGTAATGGCTGATTATGACGCGTGGCAGTGAAAGCCGCAAGGAAGCTGTCTCGCCGATGCCGCCTTATCTTTGCACGATAGCCAGCTGTTTGTGACGGTATGTTGTCTACACAAGGTGTAGGCGCCTTGACCCAGAATGTTTTCTTAGGGCATTAAGGTTATCAGGTAAGTCCGCCTTCTCTCCCTCTTCTTATTCTTTATTTCGTAGGTCCTCATGGTTGTATGGCAGCGAAGTATCAGTTCAAATGGCTGATGTACTGCTGTTGATGATGATGACCCCGCGACTCCGTTCTTCAGTAGGCAAAGCTATAAAGCAAATCGGCCTATTGAGTCGAATGCAGCCTGAATGTCTAAGAGGATGACGACGGTGGGTTTGCGGTACACGTGACGATGTTCGAGGAACTGAGGAAGCGTGAATATTCAATCCACGCAACCTCGGCCGGGGCGGAAAGCAGCCTGATCCTCACGATAGTGCGCATCGCGAGTTGACGATAGTCTGCAGAGCATGATGAGTACTAGCAGCTTGGAGGCAATCATTAGCAGGCTGATGCCCTTGGGATTGGTACATAAAGTTTGTGCCTTTCTCCCTATGAAGAGGGGACCCTATGTTCTCCCTAAAACTTCGAAAATAGGGATTTTAACTGAGTGACAATTTATGTATCATCATATTTGAACAGATGTAGAGGAAGCCCGTCTGAACCAGCAGCCTTAAAGTGCTTCAAGTGTCTAATCTCAAAGCCAACTTCGACCTTAGTGGGTGGTCGATTGACAAGACACATGGCGTACGACGGGGTGAGCTGAGTGCGAAAATAGACGACCACGGAAGAACTGAAATGAGACAAAAATACGCAACCCACATGTCCATGCGCCTCTGCAAATTGGTGATTTGTGACCCACCCGCTTCGCAGATAACCTCGCTAATACCAGGCTTTCTGTGACCAGTAGTCCGAATGAACTAAAACACTCTGCGAATATTTCCAGAGAGGGTAGCGATTTCAATCTCCAAGACATGTTGAGACCACAAAGCTTCAAGATCCCCGCGAAGGATTCGTCTGAGTTGACGGCTGATAGCGCGGCGAAGTTCATTCTGATAAGTTATGTGGGAGAATTCAGCGGCTATCAAACAGTGTCAGGGAGCGCGCGGGGATCCAACTTTTTAAGGGGCGATGAGTGAATCCACGGACTAACAGGCCAGAAAATATTATCGTATTTCGCAAGAAGTTCCAGAGTGCTTGCCCCCGTTGCCATCGTTCGGAGTCTTTCTGACCGTCGGGGATGCTCACTGTGCGAAAGAGGTTCCTCTTCTAACTTGTGCCCCTTCGCTCAGCTCACTGGTATGTACTCGCCGTGAATCGCCTTGCCGAGAGATTGTATACAGTAGGCCTCGCCGGTTTACCACCCCGTACGGCTCCATCCACTTCGGCAGGAGCTTCCTCTCCCCTTGGCCACAAGTGGGGGCGCGTTGATGGTCCCTGTCTCCCACCTTCGGACTGATCAGAAAGCCATCACACGCTTCAACATTGTTGGTCCGGGACTTCTCCCTCCTCCGCACCTGAGTTACGTTCAGGATACGGTTGGCTGCCTTTCCGTTATATCCTTGGCATTAATGATTCGATCCAGTCAGTCAGGTCCAAATAGCGCAAAGCATGATGCCGGCCCGTGGGCAAACGGATCACACGTTTGCTTTTCAACCCGGAGGGCGCAGATTCGAGCCTGCGTAAGGGACTGGGCGATGCTGGTGGTATTCTTAGCCCTCGCGCGACTGGTAGTGGCTGCGTGGCAGCAAAGCGTCGGCTTATTGTTGATGACTAGCAAGGTATGCGGAACAGTCGAGCTAAAGCGAAAGTGTACACGGTTTCAGTTAAAATGCGTCAACGACGTGGGCATTTAGTTTAAAAATCTCCCGGTCAGGCACAAAGCATTCCGTTGGAGAAACAGTCGTTCGTTGTTCTTTGCAAGAAGACCAGGGATCAATGCTATCTAAACTGCATAGTTGTGTTTTTAGTGGGACTGACTGTAAGTTGCCACCGACAAAACCGAAATATGAAAAGGAAAATCACTGAAAGTGAATTCACCAGTGGAAAAGTAGTTGTCTTGACGCTTACATAAAAATCAGAGATGGTGAAAGACCCAAATGTGCTATCCACCAGAAGTCAGACGGAAATAGTGCGAGAAAAGTTTTGAATCTGTTGAGCAATTGACTGATAAAGAGCAAAAGTATTTGCACCCACACGATTACATCAGGCAAGTCTCAAAGGAAAGCAATTTTAGTACAGAAAATTACCCCAGTCAGATGGGCGGCTTCGTTGGACAAGGACAGATCTTTGCTACAATTGCGACAGAGGCGACGGCGTAAGCGGCCAGATGGAGGGATTTCGGCTGCGTTCGAGTCACTCGTGGTCCCGCTAGAAACTGCTACCGTAGGGCCCGATTTGACAGACACAAAATCTGCATCATCGGCGATTTTTGCGTCGTCTGGTAAGAGTGCGTGGAAGGAGACAGAAGCAGTTGGAGAGAAGGTAAATACATCCGCAGAGTGGAGGCACAAAGCATATAAGTCAACAGTATACAGCACGTGTTGAACACAGACGAATTGGCAAGACACAAGAAATAGTGTAAACAGCAAGAGAAATACAAAAATATAATAAGTAGAAAAATGGTAAGATGGCAAGGTGAGTAGCACTAAGTCCCGCCACATTCGCGAACATCATCAGTCAGTTTGAGAACAAATATTTGTCATCTAAAACAATAAGTAAAGGATAAAAGTTGATTGGCGGAGCAAGTGATGGGAAACGATTAGTTGGAAAAAAAGATTAATCTCAACCGAGTATCAAGGTATCCGTCTTGGTTTGTTATCTGACGGAAGGCGAAGTCACAGAAAGTGGTGCCGTTTCGTAAACCCCGCAAGTGCAGCGGCGTATGATGAGGTCGCGTGATCCAGACACTATTATACTATTGTGTTATCACCGACACCGTAGAGATGAAATGGGGTTGGGAACGGTGGATTGACGTAGTACGCAGAGACTGAGCAAAGCATTTACCCAGACAACAGATCTAGGGTCGTTGCAATTTCGAACGCCACAAGGATCAGATAGAATGCGTACTTACTAACGATTCCCGAAAGGATGAAACGGCCGTGCAGTACTTTACCGGGCTTGAGATGGCTGTCTGACTAAGTCTAGATGTGGTATATTTCTACGTATACCTTCACGATAGTTGCAAGTGGCTCTTCCACAGAATAGAAAGTTCCACAGAATGGAAAGTTCCACATTATGCTAAGGAGAGCGGAGAGATTAGCCTCCACTGGAGCACTTTCGTGATTCAGAGTAACGATGAAGGGAGGCCAGATTTAGGTGAGTTGGTTCGCTACAAAAGAGCAAGCTCATAATGAATAAGTTCCGAAAATCGGAGGTACGAAGATAACGTCCCATGCGGAGTTCGAGTTATACAATAAATAATAGTCAAGGTAAAGATGCTTCGCAAAATACTTTACCCGGCAAAATACTCGAGATGGTTTAAAATAAATCAAACGCACATTTGTTCACCTACCGTCTTAGCAACTAGTTCTTTGCGCCTATACGCCGAAAGAGCTGAAATAATTTTTGGCTGTTCCCAGTCCTACCGGTGTCTTCTAACTCACGAACCCCAGCCAGTGAATCGAAGACACGTCGCAAAAAGTTGCCTCGAAAAGTTAAGAACACTTTAGAACCTAACACGCAAATAAAATAGCCTACGGGCTAAGGATGTTGAGAAATGCATACAAAGTTTGGTACTCCGTTGTTGCCATGAGCATGAGTGGCATGAGGGTGTACAACGAAGGATGTTGAAGATCTGGAAATGAAGTTTACTGGATAGAACGATAATCTAGCATAGACGTTGCCAGATGTAAGCGATATTAACTTTGAGTCTATGACAAACGTGTACTCGATGAGTGCAAAATAAGAATGCCTGTAAAATAAAAACATTCATTCGGAACAGCGGACTCCCTGATGTTAAGGCTGCATTCGGCATGGGGCCAAAGTAGTCCATCCTAATTAAATAGCAGGCAGACATCGACCTTGTGATGACTTCCTAGGATAGATAGTCTGGTGGACAGCTCGCTCGAACAATCGTCCCAAGCGATGTTTAAGGGAGCTCCATTCACACACCAGATTTCCAGTGTAAACCCGAAGGAATAAGACCGGGAGGCATGTGGATGGGAGCCACGTTTCATCAACAGAGCCGGCCCACACTCCTTCACATGCAAACACAAGCACGCAGTTTTGGGGAATCAAGCGCACACAAGGCGGTGGCTGGACCGTAGTCCGCTCCACACTGAGTGCATGGAACCACTTTTCGAGCCTAGCACGGCCACAAGGACAGTGAATCCCGCCCACTCCAGCAACGACCAACTGTCCCCTGGAGCCAGTATGGAGGAGGTAGTGGGTAATAGACGGGTAGGAACCTTGTCAACATGCACATCAAGCGCAGCCACACCGGCAATGTCAAACAACAGCCAATCAATTGAAACGACGATGTCAGATAAATCGAATAAAGCATACAGATACAACGACATAAATCTCCATTAAATGAGCGTACGAAATAAATTGGTTGAAAAAATCCGCGAAAGGTTCAATACGTCAGAAAATATATCTTAAGAAAATGCGACAACATCGAAATGTTAAGAAAATTAAATAAAACAGCTGAAGAGAGGTATGCAAGTTAATAGATAGTATGGGTAGACATTAATAGAAAAAGCACTGGACAATATAACAAACCAATCACGCAAAATATAGAGACGCAGCATGCAAACACGCGGTTAGTAAATCGAATGCAGCGTAACTACAAACATTGACCGGTTCTGCCTACGTTCTCTGCAACGCCCGTTGTCGTATCGGTGTTGGCACCCAGTGGACTCGCTCATGCCTGCTTGATTCAGGCACTCGCGACCGCATGTGCTACAGCACCATGCGGTTGACGTTAATAGAGCACACCCATCGGCGCCTGTCGCTTCCGAACCTGCCGTTTCTTCTTCGCATGCACGAGGGATTTCTCTACCACTTCGGCAACAGCCTTCGTGATCAGATCGCGCCAGGCACGTCGATCAACCGCCTTCGATTCCCATGACTTGCAATCAACCTTAGAACGGGATAGGCTCATTTTGATCATGTCCTGGTAACGTAACTTTGGTTTTCTCACCTGCCGCTTCTCCAAAACTCACCTGAACATAAAGTAGTTGTTTCGGTATCCGAGTCGAAACCATACGCCACACATGACCAAGCCACCTCAGGTGTCTCAAGAAAAGTATGCAGTTCACTGCGCAACACTCCCGTGTCCGCAACTCTGTTGCACCAAACAATGCACAGGTCACGTCGCAAACAGTGTTGACGGAATCACTCGAGTTATCGCACATCCCGCCGGTACATCGTGCACGCTTCGCTGCCGTATAGAAAAACCGGCAGCACCATGGATTTGTACACCATCAACTTCGTGCCAACAGTAAGTTGGTGCTTGTTCCACACTCAGTACACAAGCTTCAAGAATGCCGCCGCTGCATTTTAGACACGGATACGCAGTCCAATGTACATTTGCAGGTCAAAGGGAACCATATTCCAAAGGTAGCAGAAGCAGGAGGTGGTTTCCCATACGTCAGCACCAATGCTGATTTGCAGCACCATTACAGACTGCACCTCCGGTGAAGGCTGCAAGAGACAGACAGTTTTGCTTGTGTTGATGGTGAAACCGAATTTGGCCGGTGTCGAAGCCAGAGCACTAGTCACGTGCTCCTGCAACTCATCCGCGCTGTGTGCAAACAACGCACAATCGTCAGCAAACAGCAACATACGGATAGTTGTCTCACAGACTAGAGTTCTCGCACCGAAACGACGTTCAGCGACCCACCAACAATACGGTGCTCAACACGAACACCGTAAGCACAAGGCGACTCAAAAGCACAAGACATCATTGCATGAAGATAAATATTAAACAGGACAGGAGATAAGACAAAGCCCTGTTTCACACCAGTGACAACTGCAAAGTCATCCGAGGTCCCTCCACACAGCTGAACCCTCGCCTGCATACCACCGTGCAGACATTCCATTAAACTTACAAACTTACGCGGGCAACCAAACTTACCCAACATCAGCCACAATGCCTCCCTGTTCACGGCATCAAATGCTTTGGTGAAATCAACAAAAAGCGAGTACAACGGCTGGTGTCATTCTCTGCACTTATCTTGCAACTGACGAGCCGTAAACACAATATCTATAGTATCGCGACCCGAACGGAATCCACACTGCTCTTCCGCCACGTTCGGTTCGACAAATTGATTGACTAGGCGGTTGAGCAGGATTCGGGCAATCACCTTGCCCACACAACTAAGCAAGTTGATGCCACGATACTTCGTGCAACATTACTTGCTCCCTTTGCCCTTGTACAGTGGTAGCACAAGGTCATCCTTCAGCTCAGGAGCACCTCCTCAATCAACACGCGTTGCACCAAGTGGAGTAGCGCAGTCACCAATGCTGGTACGCCGTGTTTCAATACTTTAAGCGGGATCCTATCGGCTCCGGCACACTCTTGCCGTTTCGCAGCTGAGCAAGTGCTTTCTGCGAATCAACCAGAGTCGGCGTGTCCACCAGACTCATTTTCACATCGTGCTACTTGAGGTAGTTCAATGTAGGTCATTCAATCCCTGAACGGTTGGTCGAGAAATTGCCAAAGTGATTTTACCAGATCTGCATTATTGCTGCAGTCTGTGTGAAGGTAGCGCCTGAACTACCACCGATTAGCGTGCTCGGCGACTCCAACCTCGGTCCATATACCGCCTACAAGAAGTCGAAGAATTCCTTGCGGTGGTGGCGTTCGGTGTAGCATTTCATCGGCATCGCCTTCTCCGTCTATCGTGCACTTTTAATGAGATGGAGCTCTCGGGTCAGTCGCCGTCGAAGTTTGCGAAACTGGCTCTTCTTCCCCAAGTCACTGGGATCTACCACATGTGCAGCAAACGCTGTATTCTTCCCCTACGCCAGTGCGTCAATCGCCGCATTGTTCTCACCAAACCAATCAGGCCGCTTACTGCTTGCACGCCCGATGATCTCCTCAGCAGCAGCTGCCACCTGATCGCAAATGTGGTGCCACAGGTTGCTCACTGTGGCTGTGTAGTCCACATCACATAGGCGTGCAGTGATCGTCTTCTCCAGCTCAATATGTTGCTCCACAGTACTGAGGAAGAGAATGTTAAATTTACGACGATCCACGGAGGGTGGGCAATACATAGATTTACGAAAATACAAGTACAGTTTGGTCCGCACCAACTTGTGATCACTGCCACACTCAGCTCCACGCAGTACACGTGTCATGCGCACTTCACGCATATCACGCTGACGTACCATGACATAGTCGAGCAGGTGAGCGTGACCACTCCGTGAGTGCGTCCAAGTTGCTATATCACTCGCACTCAGTGAAAACCGAGTGTTCGTGATCGTCAGGCCGTG